GGGTCTTGCTAAACTGCTGAAGCTGTCTTTAAATTCGAGATCCTCCTGCCTCAGCCTCCCAAGATGCTGGGATTATAGGTGTGCACCACTACACCTGGCACATCTCAACAGGATTTAGAGATAGAGGCATGAACTCTGAATTCTACAGATTTCCATAACTGAACTCCTCTGCATGACATAATCATAAAATAATGTAACGTTTTTAGGAAAACAAGGGGCATTTGCTTATGTTGGGAGTTACATTGTAAAGATTTAATTCAGAGTCTTTATTGCAGAAATTAAGTTGATTTGCAGATTATCTTATTTCAGTACATTTTATTTACCTATAACATTCTGAAGCTCTGTTTTTTTTTCCATTTCTGTTGGTATTATGTTTCTTTTGTTCATTAAAAACCAGACTTCACACGTCTTCATGTCTTTCTCTGTTCTCACAGCTGCTTTACAGCTAGCTGACTCTGACCTATTATCTTCCAAATGAATGGCATATCCTGTAGATGCACCTTCCAAATTATATATGCGTAGGAATCATGGGACTCTTGTTAACTGGTTCCAATTTGCATAAGTCAGTTGTGGGGCCTGAGGTTCTTCAATGTGTTAGTGTTGCTGCCACATGGTGCCCACCTCCAGTATTCTTCCTGGTCATTCCTGCGCACTGTTCTCAGACTACTATCCTGAGACAGACAGAAACCTGGTCATGTCACTCTCCCCCTTCACGCTCAATTGCATAGAGGAGTAAAGTCCACGCTTTGCTGTGGTTTTCAAGGAATAGCCATCCTCATCAAACACTCTTGGCACCATCTGCACTTTGGGAAGCACTTGGTACTTCCCACTCATGCCGTGAACTCTTACCAGCTCTTTCTCACTACCTGTTACTCTTCCCTTAAGGGTTCTGTGCCAGTTTTAACCTCTCAGGCAAAGACTCACCCTGCATTTTCCTCTTTGTCTCCATATCACTTGGTATATTTAATATAGTATTTATCATAGTGTCTTATAATTATTTGCTAATTATCCAGCCAAGAAATAGCTACCATGAGGTACTATTTTAGCTGCTGAGGAGACAGCAGTGAACACAAAAAGAGGGGGAGAAATTTCCCCATTCTGGGCTTATATTTTAGCACTTTTTTTGTTGTTTCTGCCTTACGCACACTTGGAATTTTTTCTTTTTCTTTCTTCTTTTCTCCAATCCTCCTCCTTCTGTCTCCCTCTTTCCTCTTATTCACCTTCATATTCCTAGTGTTCAGCATATAGTGAGTGAGCTATATGTTTTGGGTGAATTATTTGCCATATACTTCATACTGTTTGCTAAATTCTGTGTTATGCATAGGACCACAGAGACGCAAACAGGGCTGTTTCTTTCCCATAAGCAGCTTGTGAAGACAGAAGACAATATTCCAACTAGAATCTACTTCTGATAACAGTGACAGTGCTAGGGAGAGGAAGCCAGAAGAGGATATCTATAGGCAGAAGTCAGAGATGGAAGAGAAAGGGAATTAGATTTCTTAGAAATCTCACTTCAGCTAAAAAATGTAATGTAGATTTTTGCATTCTACTCTGTATTGATTGTTTTATAGAATTTGTGTTCTTAATTGCTTACCACAGAACAGAAGTGATTTCTAAGTGTCAATCAGTAATGCCCTCCCAGTGTGGCCTTCATTATCATTTAATTTGGTATTAGTGCCACCCACAACACCTTCATTCAAGAATCATATTGTGCTTTTAATTCATCCTGGTGGAGAAAGGTCTGGGACAGGGACCCATAAAGCAGTGTGTAACTGTATGTAGATACTGCAGTGATAGCATCATGGCTGAAAAAACAGCAGAGTGGAACTCAGCTTGGAAGATGTTGTAAATTAAAAGTATTCCATGTGAAGGACCACAGTATGGTTTGGCACAGGGAAGGGATTGGTAAGAGAAAGGTAAATGTGAAGACTTAGCAGAGTTTGTGTCTGCAGGGATTAGTGAAATTTTTGAAGCCATCAGGCTTTTCTAGAAGAGAGAATGTTATTCAGTGGGAACCAGCTTTTTGTGGGAGGAACAAGGCATCCAGTGACCTGGCTTCTGGGTGACCTGACTTTGACTCCATCACTGATTTGCTGAGCGCCCTTGGGCAAGTCAGTTAACCTTTCTGGACCTCATTTCTTTATCTTTAAATTGAGAGGGATGAAATATGATCTGTAATTTACCTTTCAGCTCCTGCATTCTGACTTACCTGTCAAACAGGGTGGCCTGGGGCTTTTTGCTTCAAGGACTTAGCTTCTGTTATAATTACTGTTTACTTTGGAGTCTTGCCCAGTGACCAGACTGAAAATATGAGCTGTTTGAATCTTCCCTTGCCTTGGTCTCATTTATTTCTCTCGGATTTTGATTGCCTGTTTCTCCCTCCTGCTTGTTTTCTTGTTCAGTGAGTCCTTCAGAAGCTTTTTCCTGAACTGTTGCCTGTGCTGACATCTCACCTCCCACTAGCTGCTGCTGGAATTCATCTTGTGTACACTTCAGCTAAATTAGTCTCCCTGTGCCTCTCCTCTATAAAAATAAGCTAGTGGGTTTCCATTGTCTTCCAAAGAAAGGCCAAATCCATTAGCCCACTACTCATTATCCTCTGTCCATCTTGCTTGCATTACTTCCCTTTCACATGACCTATGGAATAGTTAAACCAAACCTAACACCCTCCTGGTGCCTTCTATCCTGTCCTTCCCTTCATCTGATTTGTTCAGTCTCAACATTGTGTCACAGTTTTCCCACCTCAAGTCACTCCATCTTCATGAAATTGCTCAGGCTTCCCACAACCAGAAGCAGTTTTCTTCTTCTCAACTCTCTAGCACCCATGGCACCTTTTCTGTACCTCATAGTATAATGACTTTGTTTTTATTTTTTGTATCACTGGATCTCTCACTTTATCTTTCCTATCTAAACTGGGTGGGGCCCCAGTAAATAGTTGATGATGACTGAATTCTGACTAATTATAGCTTAGATGCTTGTTATCTTTTGTTGGTAGGATTTCTTTCTTTCTTTTTGGGGGGTGGTGCTGGGGATTGTAGAGGCAAGCACTCTACAAACTGAGCTATATCCCCAGCCCCAGGATTTCTTATTTATGTGGATTACCACTAATTAGAATGTAGAAAAGAAATCTGCCGCAGTTAATAAGCTAACGCAAGAACCATTGCCATAAATGTGCTAGCAATTTCCAAGTTTATATTTAAGACAAGCAAAATCTTTTCAGCTTGGTGAACCTTATCTTTGGGTGTGTGTGAGTGTGTGGGGGGGTTCATTCGTTTGTTTGTTTTGTTTTTGCAGTGCTAGAGAAGAAAGCCATGCTAGCAAGCAGTTTGCCAGTGAAGCTATATCCCTGGCCCCTGTCTTTGTATTTTGAGTATCATCTACATGAGCTGTCAAGGCAGTGCAGGGCATCTTCCTTTACACTTGAAGTATTCAGCGTATTTTATAGCTTGTGTCAATTAGTACACTTAGCAATTGTTTTATGCTGTGAAGTTTTTGGAATGAGGATTTCTTTTTTTTTTTTTTTAAAGAGAGAGGAGAGGGAGAGAGAAGAGAGAGAGAGAATTTATTTATTTATTTTTAGTTTTTTTTCGGCGGACACAACATCTTTGTTTGTACATGGTGCTGAGGATCGAACCCGGGCCGCACTCATGCCAGACGAGTGCCCTACCGCTTGAGCCACATCCCCAGCCCCTGGAATGAGGATTTCTAAACTTGAGGGATTTTTTAAAGAAAAATTAACAAATGGAATAGTTCAGTAAATTAAGAACTTTTATTTTGATACTAGAAACAGATTATTGTCTTTAATTCACTATCATATAATTGGTGTTTATATCAGAAGTTGTATTCCATACTTTCAGAACCATTAATAACATTATTGAAAGTTTGGTTTTTCTGTGGATTATAGATCTGGTTATGACCTAGTCAGCTATACACAGACTTCCTATGAAATGGTTGTATGAGGAAGGTGGAGAGCATCCTGGTTGAAAGAATGCAGTTGTATATGTTCTAAGATGACTTACAATGTATTACGTCCCCTCAGAAAATGTGTATTTTGGGAGGCTGACGAGAAATAGAAGCCCCTTAAGATTCCCACTGCTACTTTTTGTCCAGTGGCCCTTTTAACTAATCTTATTTATACTACTGTGCTGAGATAGCGAAGTCTTCAACAGTATCAACCTGAACCCAAGGAAAGCAACTACATCTTACCTAGCATTAGACCATCAACAGAAATTACCTCATTTCTCTCCAGATGATGTAAGATTAATCTTGGTTCTAGCAATCTCGTGTAGGTATAAGTGTACTCACAATAAAAATTGTCATATTGCTTCCTCCCAGTGCTGTTTAGTTCAGAATACAGTGGTTCTTTCTTTCCCCCATATTTTTATTGGTGCATTATAATTATACATAACAGTGGAATTCATTGTGGCATTTATACATGCACTTGATATAATAATATAATTTAGTCAGTGTCATTCTCCTATATTTTCCCTTTCTTTCTCCTCCTCCCTTCCCCCTGGCCCCTTTCCTCTAAATACAGTGGTTCTTTAAAATTGTTGCAAGTATTTTATCTATTAAAACTGTTAAATAAATGAGGATTACTTTGTAATCAATTACATGATCCTCAGTGTGCAGGGGCTGCAGTTGTAGCTCAGTGATAGAGCGCTTGCCTAGCATGTGCTGGGTTGGATCCTGAGCACCACATAAAAATAAATAAAAAGTAAAAACGAAGTATGCATATTTCTTCCAGTACACAGGTAAAGGAATGGAACCTGGTAAGGATCAGTGAGAGAAATAACTCCCACGGGAAACCAGAAAGCTAAAACTCCCGTTGCTCTTTTAGTAGTAATATGGAAAGAAGGGCAGAATTGATTTATAGTAAGCCTTATTGCTCCATTGACCATTCTGTTGATTGGGATCTGTGATGTCGGTGGTAGGAAGGGGCAGGTGGATTTTGATCTCTGTATTTGATATCTCTTCCCCCCTCCCCCCCTTTTCTTCAGGAGTTAGAGGCAGCCCTTCACAGAGATGACGTGGAGTTTATCAGTGACCTGATTGCCTGTCTGCTTCAGGGCTGCTATCAACGCAGGGATATCACGTGAGTAATCCTGGTCTTACTAAGTATTTCTTGAAGAGGGAACTAATTAATAAGTCTTGATGATGTTTCCAGAATCCATCATTAGCTAGTATATAACAGTGTAGGCTTGAGTATATACAGATGAATTCTAGTTTTATCTTACTTTTACTAATCTTTTACACATGGTTAAACCACCTAACATACTTGAGTGTAGAATTTCTTTCTGTTGTATTTGCCTTATTCTGATTTTGGTTTGTAATATTGGTAAAACATTGCCTAACAACATTTCTGTTGTTTGTATTTCTTCTGTTGTTCACATAACTGGTGGTAGTAGTGTAATTTACTTGACCTCTGAGCTCCCTTACGCTTATGCTGCCAAGTAAACAGCACTCCAGTGCCTTCTAGATATATAGAGATTTGGAACATATTTTATCTGCCTACACAGATAAAATATAGGAGCTTCCTAATATTAAGAGCCATCCTATTTTGTTTTGCTTTTTGCTATTGAGAAGGGGGTCTGGGGGCTTACGCTCTGGCTGGTCTAGAACCCTTGGACTCATGTGATCTTCTGCCTCAACCTCCTGGCTAGCTATGGCTATAGGGATTATCCCTTTGTTTTGATCCCAACAATTGCACTTTTTGCTACATTTCTACACAGAACTATAGGACAAACTTTTTTTTAAAAAGGCTAGGCCTAGTGGATTTCCCAGTCTCTTGGCTCTCTGTTGTCATTTAGGGATTGTTAATGGCTGGTATTTTTCAGACTGTCAAAGATGATATCTCAGATATTTTTGCTGTAATGAATGTAACCTGTTAAGGCTGGGAATCTATGTTAATTATATTAATCTGCAATAGATTTCTCACAAGGTGAGAAAGAGATAGACGAAATGTCATTTTTCTCAGTACTCCTTACAAGAGTTACTGCTTCCTGGATTCATAAATATAACAACTTTACCCCCTGGAAGACTTAGGTTGTATTTATAAATACTAATTAAAATAAGATAGATAAAGTGTATTATAGTGTATTCTTCCATTTTTTATTTAGGACAAAGATTTGGGAGTTTCTGATTGTCTTTAAAATGTAGCTGTATTCATACTCTGTGTATAAATCAGTTTCTTTGCTGGAATTTCTTTCACTATAGCAACCACTTTTTATATAAACAACTTTTCTCTAAATGTCATTGTCAGATCCAACCTGTAAGTAGACATATTAGGTCTAGCTTTTAATTGTGGAAAACACATTATAATGGGTAGCCTTATATAAAATCTATTAGGTGAAACAACTTATCTCCTCAGTATAAGTTTCTGAAAGTGTATAGTCACTCAGAAGAAATGCCCACTTAAGATTTTGTAACTAATTGCCAGGCTGCCCAACACAGTGATAGTTCTTTTCATCCTTGAGCCATCAGTGTGTGAGAGTATCTGATTGCATAATACTCATTACCTCTGGACATGGCTCACTATCTATATGCCTGCCAGTGGGTCCTGGAAAACACTTTCTTGAAGCTTACATTTTTGTGCTGCAGTAGGGGTGGAATACTCCACTAATAATTACAGAAATTATTATATAATTGCAGATTACACAATTACTGGGATAAAGGTTTAGCAAAATATGGTGTATCTTCAGAACATAAAACTTGGTGTGAAAAAGTGCTCTGTGCCTTCCCATACAGGCTCTTATGGTATAGTCTTCATGATGGGGCTGGTCTCTCTAATTGTGCTTTTGTTTAAAATTGGTTTTACCTAATCCTGCTTGTTAGTTCTTTCCAGATAAAGATTACACAATTTTTGTCATGTTCTATAAGAAATTCTGTAATCCTCTTATTCTGATTAAAATCTAATAAGCCTATGAGGAAATTTGGGCAAAATGGCATCTTTACAATATTGAGATTGTGGGGTTTTTTTGGTACTGGGGATTGAGCACTACACCACTGAGCTACATCCCCAACCCTTTTTTGTATTTTATTTAGAGACAGAGTCTCACTGAGTTGCTTAGCACCTTGCTTTTGCTGAGGCTGGCTTTGAACTCTAGACCCTCCTGCCTTGGCTGGGATTACAGGCATGTGCCTCTTTGCCCAGCAAGATTGGTTTTTTATTCAAGCCTTTAATATCACTCAGTAAAAAGTCACAGCTTTATTAATTTAGGACTGACACAGTCTTGTAAATAGACTGTTAATTAATTGTTGCCATTAAGAGTATAACCGGGACTGGGATAGTGGCTCAGTGATAGAGGGCTTGCCTAACATGAGGCACTGGGTTCAGTTCTCAGCACCACATATAAATAAACAGAATAAAAATCCATTGACAACTAAAAAAATGTTTAAAAAAATATAATCAGGGCTGGGGATGTGGCTCAAGCTGTAGCGCGCTTGCCTGGCATTCGTGCGGCCCGGGTTCGATCCTCAGCACCACATACAAAGAAAGATGAAAAATCTCTCTCTCTCTCTCTCTCTCAAAAAAAAAAAAAAAAGTGTGTGTGTGTGTATCAAACCGGGCATGATGGAATATAATCTAAGCTTCCCGGGAGACTTAGGCAGGAGGACCACAAGTTCATGGCTAGCCTTTGCAACTTAATAAGACCTTGCCTCAAAATAAAAAAAAAAAATTAGAAGGGGCAAGGGATATAGCTCAATAGCATGGTGCCCTTGGGTTCAGCCTCCAGTACCAGGAGTGGGAGTGTACAATCACATTGACATTTTGAAATGTAGAATATGCTATATATCACTTGTTAACCTTATTTATTTAATTATCTTGTTGATTTTTTTTTTCTCCGTCTGTCCTTTGCAGTGTTAATCGTCATGTGTGTTTTGTGCTGTATTAGTTATCTACTTTTGTTTGATTACTGACTTTTTTTAAAAAGTAATTTTTAAGTTGTCAATGAATCATTCTTTTATTTATTTACATGGGGTGCTGAGAATCGAACCCAGTGCCTCTCACATGCTAGGCAAGTGTTCTACCACTAAGCCACAACCTATATCTGTGTAATGGAACCTCCAGAATAAAGAACATTTCTATAGATTTTATTCTTTCCACTGAAGAGAATTATCTAAAGTGATAGTTATTTTGCTTCACCCTTGGTGACTCAAGTGTAATTAGTGAATGCATACATATGTAGTATTCTCTGAAGTTTACTTTCATCTCATTCTAAAGAAAGAGAATTTGGATAAGTGAATGCTTGCTCTTTTGGCTGTAGGACTTAACCTATAAACAGGGAGCTAAGTAAGTTTCTTAATCTCTTTGTGTATAACTTGTCTCATATGTAAAAGGGATTATAACAATGCCCAGAAAAGTTACAATGAGGATTAAATTATCTAATTCAGGAGTACAGAATACCTTAGAACATTCTTGATAAAGTATACATTATAATGTTTAGAAACTGGCATTAGTTTCTACCAAGGCAGAATATAAAGTAGGCATTGATTCCAAGTCTCTTTAGCCTTTGTAATTTGCACTTTTATTTTATATTTTTGGTTCTGGAGATGTTGACTCCAGAGCCTTATACATGAATTGTAATCACAGTTTGCAGGTTTCAGAGTGTGCCAGGAAACCTTTTCTGTGTGAGTCATATGATGTGTCACAGCTGCTTATCTCTGTCATTATAGTATGAAACAACTATTTTGACTGATAAGCGACACTGAAGCTCTAGCTAAGTAATAGAGCTCTTGCCTAGCACATGTGAGGCACTCCGTTCAATCCTCAGCACCACATAAGAATTAAAAAATCCTGTGTTTCTTCGGAATTTTTCCCCCTCAACCATTAAAAATAACAAAAACTATTCTTCACAGGCTGTTTTTAAAAAAACTATTCTTCACAGGCCAAATTTTGATCCCCAGGTCAGTTGGTAGGCCTCTATTTTTTGTGAAATTAAATGGGTTATTATTCTGTTTTCATTAACTCAATCTAGAAACTGGAATATGGAACCCCTATTTGAACTGATCTCTCCAAACTGGGATTTTTGCTTTTTAGAGAACAACATGATGCTGTGTTAGGGCCTTGCTCTGAAGGATTTTCAGGAACTCTCATTTAGTCCATATAGCAAGCTCATAATAGAAAGTTCTCCCTCACCCACCCAATAAAGATTTATTGTGAGATTAATTGCTTACAGTTGCATAGCCTTTAATTGACAGTAAGGTAGATTTGGTCCGTAGACCTTTAGCCCTTAACCACAACTCACATGCTCTAAAAAGAATACCAAAAGATTTTCCTTGAAGACAAGATTGTTTAGCTCTTTTTAATGATTTGTTCTTCTTTGGCACTCTAATGAAAATGAAACCCATCTAAAAATAATGTTTTGAAATCACAAAATTAGAATTACAGTAGAACACCATTATACAGTAAAATAATGGAGTGTTACAGAATAAAAGTCTTGACATTATGAAGAGTTACTTAATTGATTAAATTACATACTCTGGGGCTGAGTTTGTGGCTCAGTGGTAGAACACTTGCCCTGGCATTTGTGAAGAGCTGGGTTTGATTCTCAGCACCACATATAAATTAATAAATGAATAAAGGTCCATCAACAACTAAAAATATTTTTTTAAAAAAATTACCTTCTCTGGCAGAACATCTACAATTTCTCAAGATTACTCTCTTTGAGTATTGAACATAAATGATACTTTGAATATCTACAGTATCTATAATATGATATCAGTATCTCCTGGTGCAAAATACATAGGTACTAATAAAATTACTCTGGGTTGTTTTCCTGCATTCATAATTGATAGAAATGTGAACATCATGTGTAGCTTTATGAAAGTAAGAAAATAATATTTCCCTGCCAAGTTCATGGACTCCCCTGAATTATATTCAGAGACCTCTGCTGAAAAATGGTTTTCTCGTTTTGAATTAATCTGCAGGTCAGAATTAGCATCTTTGACATGAAAGGAACCTTCACTGTCATCTAGTATAAGTTAATTTTTTACCCAAGGAAACTAAGGGAAACAAAACTGGCACAAGTATCCAAGTCATCTGACTCCTGTTTCTTGTCTTCCATTGTACTCTGTTGAGTCTCACATACATCT